TGACAATAGAGACAAATTGATATTTGTTTTAATCCTTAGTGTCTTGCTAAATTGAAGTCAAGGGCTTTACTATTCAATGAAACAAAAATTTCCTTTCAAAGTGTCTCTCCTCTTCTATTATTACTTAAAAGCAAAGAAAGTATTTTTTCCTAACACTGATTATAAAAACAAGGATTCCCGATCCTTCATATTAACTTTAAGGCATTATATGTAAGCTACACAAATCTTTCCCAAATCTACCTTTAGTAAGAGGATGAAAAAGCAGATAAACCCAAAACATCAAAAAGTTGAGTTTATATTATAGAAAATATTTTCTTTTAAAATTTAAAGTTTTTCTTTAGGCATGTTGGTTTACTTTTCATAATTCTTTTATCTAAGTTTTAATATTTTAATAGGAAAAACAACTGTTGCTGTTTTCTGTCATAAAATTAAAATGCCTTTTCCAACTAACTTAGCTTCCTTCTTCACAAAAGTTTAACATGTATTTCTATTCTTGTATTTACATAATGCTGAAATATCTTAAGATTTAGCCACTTCTATGAATATCCTATATTCCAACAGCCCTCCTGCCCATAGGACAATCTATGAACAGTCACATAGAAAGTGCTAGTAGTATAGTTTATGCATTGACATCTGCAAAGCAGTAGGGGGAGTAGCCAGAGAAAACACTAAGAAAAAGCACCTTAGAAAAGCAGTTTAATTTATAGGCAACAAAAACACGCTAGAGATGTTTGCTAAAAACCAAATATACAAAATAAATTCCATAAAGAAGTCATGACCACATTTGCAAAGCTGGCATTAAGTACATCTGGAATGAACTATAGAAAAACAAGTCTCTTAGAAGGATGCTTGAATCCTAACTTCAAGCTTGAAGTACAGTACTTTCCAGCAATGCCATGCCTCAAACTGCCCCTAAAATTAAAGAGTAGAAACAAAACACATTTTTATAGTGGTATGTTTGGGGGAGAACTCAAAATGATTTTGTTTTCTCCTTCAAACATCAATGCATTCACATTGAAGACCCGATGAAACATGCATCATGCTCACAAGAGGATAAGGTTATATAGGGTTCCATAGCATGATCCTTGAAAGTCCTTAGGTTCAGACCCCTGTCCTGCTCTCCTTTCTACCAGCTCCCATTCTCAATATACTTTCCATGAGAGAAAGGTAACCAGAACATAGTGAAACTATTCTGCATTAAAAGGCATTTTACTAAAAAGATACATTAGCTTTGCAAAATCTAAACAATAGGAGGGAAATCTGCCCACCAACTCACATTATGTTTTACATGTTATAAAAGTTAAACAAGGGTTATGTTTCCAGTTTTAGAGTAAAATGTACTTAGCTCTCTGTCTGGCATTCTGTAACTGGAATTTAAGAAAAGCCTTAACTTCTAATTGGAACTTTAAAATGTATATGTCTATATTATGCCAAAAATACTGTAAATTAATGTAAGCATTTTTAATAATATAAACATGTGCACTAACAACAGTTATCTAAGAATTATACTATAAAAATCCATGAAACCTTAGATGTCTAGAATAAATTACAACTAAATGGTAAAAAAAGCCAAAACTTTTAGCCAAGCAGACAACCAACGAAGTTTGACCTGAACCCAAATAATACCAATAACAAGCAGTAATTGGTAATGCCCACTATTGTCAGACACTGTATTAGTCAGCTGTTTTATATATATTCTTTTGAACTCTTACACTGATCTTTCAAAATAGTTATTATTATACCCATACTATGCTAAGGAAACTGAAGCTAAAAAGTTGAAGTCATTTCTTTAACGTAACTCAGCTAGCAAGGAACAAAACCATGATTCAACTTCCAGGTCTGTCTGCCTCCAAAGCTTTGAGACCTCACTAAAAAAAAATCATCCTCAACTATAGTAATGAAGTTCCACAGGAAATCTATACAAATCTCAGGCAGATAAATGTGCTTATGAGAGTAAATGCTGTAGATTTAATCACTCAAATTAAATGCCATCTGGAATCTCTTACCCCGCTTGGTACAAGCATCCTACATGTATTACAGCCAACCTTGGCCTTGGCCAAGAATTCAATAATCTTCCTGCCTCAATACTATCAACAAGCACTATGTACATTATAATAACAATACAGAAAACATAGCTGGTTGCTTCTAAAGCATCATTTTAAAACTGCTAATTGGTTTAGAGTCCTCTGATTAAAGTATCTATGAAATATATGAACAATTAGTTAACACAATTTGTTAAATGGTTTGGGGAATCAATTTCCTTCTTTGTAACACCCAAATCTATCTCCATGATAAATGTTTTCTATCATCACTTTAAAATCCTGATCTCTTACTAGTGTTTTCATTGTGCTTTTTAATCTACTAGTGTAAATTTTTAAAAACCTCAAGAGAGAAGAACAGAAAATTGTCATGATTTTTCAAAAGCAAAAAAAGGATAAACGAAAACATTGTTTGGTTCGAACAAGTATACGTAAAAAGAATGGATGGCAATAAAACTAATAACTGAAAAGCAATGTTTCAGACTGATTCATTCATATTTAAGAGATATCAAACACCCAAGTGGACGTGTGATGTGTACATTTCCAGTTCAGACTGAAGGTGCAGCATCATGAACATGGCCTTCAGATCAGCTGCCCCCACTCAGTTCACAGATCTAGTGGATGTGGCTTATTCATGCCCTTGTTATTAAGCAGAAGGGTAACTTTACGACCTTCACCAAGAACTTTTTTTCTTTCTATGCTAACCCTTTTTCTCCTATAAAAAGTCATGTGAACTTAGCACTTACTTAGAAATGAATGAGTTTAAAAAGAAATGAATGGCTTGGACTTTTTTTTTTCAGCACTGAAGACAACACAGAAGATTCTGTGGCTTGGACATTAAAAGTTGAAGCAACAGCCTTAGCTAAGTTTAATTTTAAAAATTAGTGTCACATCAATAATCTTTCAACCACAAAACATAAACACAGCTAGAAAGACTACATTTTGGAAAAGGTATTTTCTCATTTTGCCTAGATTTCACTTCAACCATATAAACCTATGATCTATACTAAACCTGTAAATTAACTCAAAGTCTAATTTGGGGCCTTCGCAATAAATATTTTAAATAAAAATGTCTCATTTGGTGCCTTTAAAAGAAAAGAATCATTTTAAGCAATTATTATGACCTAAAGTTTTTTCTTATCTTAAAGTATAAATTAATTACTTGACAGCTGAAGTCATTAACAATACATTATTAGATTTTACATTAATTTTTAAGTTCAAACACAGGTTTCATCATTAAGAATATGGATTTTAGAGAAAGTAACAGTAACTACCCAGGTTCATTTAGCTGAAAAAGTACCCTCAAATCATCTTGAAGACACAAACAAATGCTTGCATACCAATAGGTGTCTTCAGATTCCCCTCTTCCTTTTATTATACACAATCAACCGAACAATAGAATTAAGATCTCAGGCCCACTGCAGAATGCTCCCATTCAGCATTTAGGATACTGGAGATATTCAGCTTAAGTCTACTGCTATTATTAATCAAATTAAGAAAAAAATTATTATATTTTATAAAACTAAAAATACATTACCCAAAGGAGAACAATGGTACCTATGCCACAGCAGGGAGTAAGAGTCCCCTTAAAAGAGCAATAACCGGTCATTCTGATGTGGAGCCATGCCAAATTTAGAAATGAGGCCCAAACAGAAAAAAAAAACTATGTATTTAATCATCAGTGTGCCCATGGGTAGGTCAGTATCTGCATGCAGTGTCTGGGGGGAGGGGGGCTTCTTTCATTTTATTTATTAGAAGCCAACTTTTCCCTTAAACAACAATGCTATCAAACAATGCTATATAAACAATATTAACTGATAAGACAATCAAGTGGCTGATATGCTAATAGTATTTTTTGTAAAAACTGCATGAAAACAAAACAGGTGGGATAAAAACTATAAGAAGCTTAAGAAAAAAGCATCACTTATTGAAAGATATATACACATAAACTATAAGATGATATAACCTTCTTGACCTTGTAAATAGGGGCGCCAAAAATACTTAAATATCTTTAAGAGACAACTATTACTAATTGCCACACAACATTACCAGTGCTTACTGGAGAAATCCCTCAGCCATCTGCATCCAACATGCACATGCCTCTTTTTCTGTCCCCTTAGCCAAATAGTCATTAAAAACATTCAAATCCCAATTATTTCCTTGCACAACTAAAGACAAAAAGAACAGGTTTTCCTGAAAACAAAAACTAAAAACACTCTACCTTGCCTTCCAGGCTATTTTAAGGCTGTCTCAGGCTGAAGGTTACTTCTCAGACCCCAAAACTACATTAAGTGCCAAGACCAGCACCTTAGCACATATGGCACAAATGCCTAGTTGAAGCCTCCTTGTAACTGAACGACCTCAGAAAACTGGATTTTCTCTCCAAGATTAATGGAAACAAAGGTAATGATTATAATGAATCTTCTAACTTTGTTAACATTTCCTGCGGATGTATACAGCCAACTGAAAATATAAAGAAAGGCTCAGTTCTTGCAGGGTACCCTGACAAGATAAATGAGGTTAAGGTTCCAAGTTCATTGAACTCTTTTGAGTTTGGTTGCCCTAGATGGTGACATTCAAGTGATTTCACTGACATCCAGTAATTCTTATTTTCAACTGGGAACCCCAAGAATACCTTTAAACATGCAATGCTAATGGACCCTACTGGATTTCAATTCCAAGGGCAAAATGTCACTCAAAATGTCACACAACTCTGTATCCTGGGGGTACTCAATCAAACTATGTCAAAGTTGCTTTTGCAAAATGTTTAATTTATCTAGAATGAATAGAAGAGAGAGGGAAAGCATGGAAACAGGAACCCTCCTCCAAAGGGGCACAATAGCCAACATGCAGTTGGCGTGACAATTCTCTCATATTTCCCAGGGGCACAGGGACTGGTGGCTTCACCGGCGTGGGAATCTGCAGCTTAGGGGCATCAGTGACAGCAAAATTGGGGCTTACCTTGTTGGAGGCCATCTCACTGACAGAGTGCCTGGTCTGTAGGGTCTCTAGCTGGTCCAGACACCAGTCCAGCTCCTCCAGGGTCTCGCTGGCCAGTTTCTGGTAGGCCTCCTCTGCGAAGAGACAGGGAAAGGGGGACTCAGTTCTCAAGCGCTTCACGGGGCCGCCAGTGAGTTCAAAGGGGGCCATCCTGCCATACCCCGCCATGCTCGGATGCCCGGTGCCGGCACATGAGGGCTGCTCCTTCATATTGCCGAGCCCGGCAGCACGAAGGGGGCCGGGGCTCTGCGCGCTGGGCGGCCGGCCTCGGGAAGGCAAGGTCTCTCCAGCTTGGCGTCTCGGTCGGCCTCCAAGAAGGGCGCGCAAAGAGCGGCAAGCCAACTTTTACACGGGGACACGGGCGGAAAAAGCACGATGCGACTTTGGACGGCGCGGCGGGCCAGAGTCCTAGTCCCGGAGCCCCGCTCTGGAGGATGGCGAAGGGGGTGGCGCGCGCGCCTCGGTGCCCGCCCCGCGGAGGAGCTCTGGTCCACGGCCGGATCTCCTCCGTCCCGGCCCCGAGCCCGCCCTGCCTGCCGAGCCTTCTGCGCGGCACTTGAAGCGAATGAATCAGCCGCGGCCGGGTGCGCGGCCACCACGTTTCCTGTTTTCTTTCTCAACTCCTTGGGCGGCGGGCGCAGCACGGCTCCATCGCCGCGGCTTTCCGGGAACACTCCCCCTCACGCCCCTCGCGGCCCTCGGCGCTGCCTGGCTCCTCCTCAACCCCCTTGAAACAGATTCCGAATTGCAACAGCCTGTCCGTGCCACCCGCCGCGTCCTTCCCCTCAGCCCCAGCGCCGCCTCGCCGTGCCATCACCCGGCTCGCAGCCGGGCGCCGCTCGCTTTGAAGCGCAGCCGGGGAGGCACGGGCGGGAGCGTGTGTGTCTGTGGAGCTGCTGCGGGGCTGTCTGTGCCAGGAGAGCTGCGGAAAACCCGGCGTGGAGCGCCCGCAGCCCGCTGCCCGGGGTCGCGCCCGCCGCGGGGCTCAGGAGGGACCCGGCGCGCAGGCGCGCGCGGCCGCGCACCTGCCCCGCGGGAGCCCCACGCGCCCCGCCGAGCCGCTGCCCCTCCCGGTCACCCCAACTGCCAGAGCCGTCGCGTTTCCACCACTCGCTGCTTCCTGCGAAGTTTCAAGGGAGAGCCCGGCAGGCGGCACAAACAGGGTTATTTAGGACCCGCGCAACCGTTTGTGATGGTTTAGGCTTTAGGGTTTGTGAGGGTTTAGGATTTACCTACTTTAAGGAGGCAGGGTTGTGGGAATAATAGCATTTGTATGAAGACCAGATTCTGTACCTAGGCCAGCCCCTACTAAGTAGAAGACTTTTAAATTTGGGGGAGGACGTAAACAGGCAAACAAAATATACAATTGTGTGGGGTCTGAACACTGTAGAATACACAGATAGGACAATATGCTGCATTTTCACATTACGCATTGCCTAGTAGTTATCTTAAAGTAACAGCAACGTGAATGAACCACATGCTAAGGAGAGTTTACACACATCTTGCATAAGTACTCCCTTCCTCTGTGACATTGCACAAGACCAAGAGGATTTTGTAGTGCCAAGGAGGAAAATCTGGCAGGGTGTTTCTACCCACCATGGGTGGAATACACTACAAACATGAGAAAATTAAAAGACCATATCCAAAGGCATCATAGGGAAGCAGGTTCTACTTACCAAAGCTAACCCAGGGAACCGGGCACTCTTCCTAAACTGGTCAGTTGCGGGACAACTTCGCTACACTTGCATGTGATAAGCACGCAAACTCACACTCTCAAGAGTCCATCTTATAAAACTATCAATAGAAGATATTAAAGAGCTTACATGAAGTGGTGGAATCCCTTTTCTTTGCCTTCAAATCTGCGGTATTGAAGGAGAAGAAAGTTTGCCCTTGAAATTAAATGATTAAATTTAAGACTCCTTAAATGATCAGTGGCACAACAAAGAAATTCATGGACTGAATCTCAGCCTTCTGGGATTTTCCAGACAGATTTATATATAAAATTTGTGAAAGTTAGAATAACTTTCAAAGTATTTGTTACATGTGCCCTGTGGCTTATTGTTTTCAAGAATTTTTGAACTGTTTACCATTTACTTTGAGTACTCTAGGTTAATATTTGCCTTTTTTATATTTTTATTTTTCCTGCAACAACCTCTATAAATATATACTTTAGGTGAACACACAACTGCCTAAACCTTGCCAGGTGAATTAAAGTTTAAGATTTAAGCTTTATTTCTTAACAAAAGAAACAACCTTAAAGATAATTTTAAATGGTCAGTATAAAATACCTTTTTGTATAGCTTTTCTTTAATTATAAAATTTAATGTAAATTATATTATGTAATATATTATGTAATATAAATATAATGTAAATTATAATATTTAATGTAAAAATATTACATGGTTGTTACAAAAATTGAAACATTAAACACTGACGTTAGAAAGTCCCTTGTAATCCCACACCCTGAAGATCATGAGCAATAATTCAGCCTATGACCATAACACAATTATCTTCATTTTACTGAATACCTTCCATATGCAAGTATAGTATTACCAAGTTGCCATGGTAGTGTATCTACTATATGGTTTGGTTTGGTTTTGGCTTTTTTCCTCCCTATACTATATAAAGTAAGAATGTAGGAAATTAACTTATTTTATGGTCATTTGAATTGTCCATTGTTAGCATATCCAGTGGGTTAAAGATGCTATAGCCATTGTGTCTGAGATTTGTTCACGCCATTTTTTCACTCACTGGTTACATCTGGGAGCCAGGAGTCCTCTCTAAGGTTTGGCTTTCCAGTGTCTTCTCCCCTGCATTCCAACTTTCTCAAAGCCTGAGCCCCAGAGGACCTCCCAGGAAGTAAGTAAACAGTCCCTTCCCCCACCTTTACCAACTTCCCAAGCTTTTCAGAAATCAAAAGTACAAATTCAGGCCTCTGACCTAGCAGGATGTGGCTCCACATATTTTATTTCAGTCTTTATTTTTTAATGTGGAAAAGTAATTCAAGAAAGTTTCAGGTTAATGCTTCAAGACATCATGTACTTAGATACAGGATTTGCTCTTAACAAAGTAGTATAACAAGAGGGGCAATTTTTTCTAGAATATCCATTTTATGTCCAAGTCATGCATTACAGCCATTTTGACAACCAGGATTAGGTATGATCATAATGCGGTGTAAACATGTATTTTAAGTTCTAACATCTTTTTCATGCATTGGATAAATCTCAAGAGTGAAGAATAAGTCACCAAAACACATCTATATACCAGTAAGAAAATAATTATTAACAACAGAGTAAAGAATAGTTAATTCTGTAAAACTGTTGCTCAAATAATTATTCCTGATATTGGCATACAGCTGAGACTATTACTTTTTTTTCAAATTCCTAGATTAATTGGCAATATGACTAGCCACAGGTTTTCAGCATCATTATTAAAGCTTCACTTTTAGGAATTTCAACCCCAAATGTTCTAAGACATCAAGTAACTGACCTTTTCATCCCTACCAAAAAAGCCTCAATGTGGAGTTGTCAGCTATCCTACAGGAAATTGAGTCACCACACCAAACAACACACCTAAATGTCGACAGCTAGCAGGACAAAAACAGTGAGCCAGTTTAATTTTGGCTTTTACCAAGAACACATACTGCATTCATTAATAAAATACTTTTCCTCCCAGAGAGTAGTATGCACTGTGGCTCTCCTTAAAATACAGGAAAACTCTTCTATTTAACTGTCCCAAATCTTGCTAAGTCAAAGAACTAAAGAGAAAAAAAAAAATCCAAGCAATAACTCTTGGTTAAATTCCCTAAAGACTAGGAAAGGGCTATGGAACAGCAACCAAGAAATAACTTGAGCCTGGAAGTCCCCTCCTATACAGCATTGGCTTTCTTCAAGGCACCCTTGAACAGTGTAACACCCATGTTCTGCTCAGGCTCTTTTGTGAACAAACAGTTCTCAATTCTTGCAGGCCAGCACTTGGCTTCCGTCATTGTGATGGGCTCAAGGGTTCCCTTGACACAGGGCCTGAAACCGTTCCAGAAGCTTCAGGAGAAGATGCTGAAGCAGCAGCTACCCTTTCAAAAGGAAAAACAGAATCACCTCAGAGCCACAGCAATTAGCTAGAGGCTGAGGTTATTTTCTTGTGACATGTTCAGCCCATTACTCTCACCTACAACATAAGAGTGCTGTTGGCCATTGAGGTAAAAGGATCCACTCTACAGGAGGTTTAACTGTGTAGATGTTGGTTTCATTGCCAACAACATTTGAAGGTCTGCATAAGGTCTGTATAAGTTTGCCATAATTCCTAGACAGACCTATTGGTTTAAAAATTTTTTAAAAACCCTGCATTAAACAGCCAGCTTCTAAGAGCATTACTTATATATGTATCTTGCTAACCAGTCCCAGTTTCTCCTCTACTAATTCCTACCAAAATCCCCTCTTTGTTCCTTAGGAAGGAGGTGGTAATGTCTGAAGTAGGCAGAACTGCAGAAAATGATTTCTGTTTTACCATGTATGGCTTTAAGCTAGTCACTCCTTGAATTTGCTACAGCAAAAGATTTTTGCAGGTTAGCGCTAACTTTTGCTGACTTAATTTTTTTCCTCTATATATTTTATCTGATGGGAAATACATGAAGGCTTTGGATTCTCTTTCAGTGTGTACATGTAACAGGTTTAAGCAGAGCTTGCCAGTGGCAAGCTGCTCTCATTTCTAAGTGTATTTCTGGCATCAAGTTCTTGTTTTGAAGTCTTCTAAAAATCGTATAAAATATATAAAATTTTACTTAGTACTTCAAAAAAGTCAAAAGTGGAGTTGTACATAATTTTGTGAGTTTTTTTTTAATCCTCCCACCATCTACAAATTTTTTCTAGTGCTGCCTAAGGCTCTAGTAAAATTTTTTAAATAAAATAAACACAGGATTGGCTTCCACTGATTTCTAGTCCCACTAGTAACTCTACATTTATTTAGCAGCAACTGTGTGTCATGTGCTTTATTAGAGTCTGCAGAAACAAGATCACTGAGAATATGTCCCTTATCTAGCAGGGGAGACAATTTCAGCACAGGAGACTGTAGAAAGCATTTTGACAGAAGGAAACAAGTGGTTATAGGACAGTAAAAAAGGGCTATTTAAATCGGACTTGGACAGAGGTAGAGTGAGAAAAAGCTGAGTCCTAAATAATGGAATAGGAAGTAAGTGAAGCGGGTGGGAAGGATTTTTAAGATAAAATAACATGAGCAAACACATAGACCTATGATCAACAAGGTGTGCATGTGCATATAGAGAAAGGAACATACATTTCCTTGAGTAGGAACTTGCTCAGGCAAAAGGAGGCTGGAGAAATCTGCAAAATCTGCAGAAGTCTTGTCAGGCATCTGCAGCTGTAAGATTAGGAGCCACTGAGTGATTCAGAGTGCTGTATGATATGGGATCTGATGTTATTTGGGATGGGAAATTCTAGCTCTGTGCAATAAATGGGATTGAAGGAGGTAAGGTTGAAGTCAGTGAGACCATTATCTTTGACCATATTATTGCTAGAATAAAATTAAATAATTTATAGACCATTTGCTTCTCTAATGATCATCTTTATCTATCTCTGTAATAAAATCCTACATAGGCATAAGTTCCCATGATATATCAGGCCTAGTGTGACTTGACAGGGGGTGGGCTTCTTGCTCTTAAAAGCTACAACCTTCTAGTCACCAAATTTTGAATCATACTGTAACAAGATAGAAAAAAAAAAAACTATATTCACCAGAATTTCTTTCAGGAAGAGCCTGTTTGCATGAAAGTGTTTGATAAATTTACTTTATGGCAGAAGGTGAGACTTTGAGAAGCTCCAGTCTGGGCAGAATTAATCTATGCCTCTTATGCACAGAAAAGGGAAGAGTATGCTGGTTGTTGAAGAGGGGGAGTGGAAGAAAGAGAGAGAGACAGAGACAGAGAGAGAGTGTGTGTGTAAGAGAAAGCAGTCAGCTTTGTCTACAGGGTTAACTACCCTGTAAATTTTTCTTTCTCCTCTAGTCTTTAATAAATTTACTGAAGGCACAAAATGTTGAGTTAAAGAGATTTCTTATTTTGTTTTGATTTATTTCACAAAAGGGACTGAGCTTGAAGGTAAGGATGGCCCAAGCAGGAATGTCTGCCTGAGCTAACACTGAAGAGAAGAGCCAGAGAAAAAGGAGAAGGCTTTTGGAGCTCAATATAAAAATAGGGAGGGCTCTGTCAAAGGCAGTGGAATAGCCGAGTTTAATTAAACATCTGGGTTGGGGGCTCTGTGTGACATGTGTTTACCTATAAGCAATATTATTCCTTGAAGGAAACTAGAAGAGCGAGAAAAGTTTCCCATCTCCATTCTACTGCATATAAACCACCATGCCAGGCAATTCACCTAATCTTTCAGGGGCCTTATTTGTTTCACCTAGAGATTGAAGATAATAACAAGAAGCTTTAGGTTGCTTTAGTTCAAGTGAGAGATTGAGAGTCAAATAAACTTGCATTGCTTATCTAATAGATTTGTTTCCAGTCCTCCTCCATTTAATCTTCCCTTCCCCCTGGACTTAAGTCTCTAACATTTTTTGTTTGTTTGTTTGTTTGTTTTTTTTGAGACAGAGTCTCGATTTGTTGCCCAGGGTAGAGTGAGTGCCATGGCGTCAGCCTAGCTCACAGCAACCTCAAAATCCTGGACTCCTGGGCTTAAGCAATCCTTCTGCCTCAGCCTCCAAGTAGCTGGGACTACAGGCATGCGTTACTATGCCCGGCTAATTTTTTCTCTATATATTAGTTAGCCAATTCTATTTATAGTAGAGACGGGGTCTGGCTGTTGCTCAGGCTGGTTTTGAACTCCTGACCTTGAGCAATCAGCAGCCTCAACCTCCCAGAGTGCTAGGATTACAGGTATGAGCCACCGTGCCCGGCCCTAAGTCTCTAACTTAAATGCAAATAATTCTATTAATTCAAATGAGCCTATCAACAAATACCTAGGAAAAACCTACGGGTCCAAAAACTTAATAGTTACCTGGAACAGTTTTTAGGATGAGCAGAAAGAAAAAATAAATTCAAGAGAAGGGGCAGGATTCAGTTTGAAGGACTCCAGTTGGAGAACATAGGCTCTTTAGGTAGCTATGAGCAGATAAGGATGTAAAGTTTAGGTCAGGCAATGGGAAAAGATAAAGATGGGGAAGTAGTCTTGGAGGGCTTGTATATTATTCTAAGAGTTTATGGGTTTTTTTTGTTTGTTTGTTTTTTGTCTGAAGGAGCCATTAAAAATCTAAGCTAGGACATCACATGGTCAGATTTGCATTTCAGAAATTACTCTGGGAATAGTGTATAAGGAGGATTGGAAAAGTAAAGACCAGTAAAGAGGCTGGTGATCACATAAGCAGAAAGTCTTAGGCAATGTCTGACGGGGAAGGAGAAGCTGCAGAAAGGTAGGAGAAGAACCTCTTAGGAAAAAAAAAGAGGGCATTTCAAAGGAGAATATTGTTATGGACTGAATGTGCTTCTCCAAAATTCATATGTTGAAATCTAATCTCCAATGTGATGGCATTTGGAGATAGAGCCATTGGGAGGTGATTAGGTTATGAGGGTGGAGCCCTCATAAATGGGATTAGTGCCCTTATAAGAAGAAGAGTCCAGATAGCAAGCTTGTTCTCCTTCTGCCATGTGGATACAACCAGGAGTCTAGGGGGCACACCAGAACCTGACCATGCTGGCATCCTGATCTCAAACTTCCTTGTTTCCACACCATGAAAAATAAATGTTTATTGTTTAAGCAGCCCAGTTAATGGTGTTTGGTTATAGCAGCTTTAGCTGACTAAGACAAATAAAAGGCTTTGCTGTTGATATTCAACACAGAATATATATAACCACAGGTTCATGCTAAAATAATTTTCATTCCAAACTCATAATCCAACAACACAAGACCTAAGAGGGTGTTAAAGAATGCTAATGTGGAAATTATTGTATGAAAAGGTGTTTCAATAAAGTAACAATAAAAAAATTTGCAAGCAGGCTTTTAAAAAAGTATTAGAACTATGTATATTATTTGCATACTCTTGTTACTTTGGGAATCAATTTTATTCCTGTGGTGGGATTGTTAAGAAGGTATCTTTGTTTCCATCATATACAATCAACCTTAGGGTATAACATAGTCTTTGTGTCTCTTATCTTTGTCAATGACTGCACAAAGCATTTTCTAAAGAAAATAGAATTTGAGTAGATGATCTCTAGTGCCTACCCAGCTCCAAGATTCACTCATTCTCTGATTTCTGATCCTGCTGTCTGGGTTGGATATGGGTCTTAAGGTTGTCCACTAATTAGTTAACCTGGATAGTGTGAGCTATTATTGTAGAGGGAATTCCTGAGCTGACTAGATGCTGTCAAAAGTCCCGTCTACTACTACAATTCTGGAATTCTGTATGTTTAGCTCAACTGTATACCAGCTATGGATGGATGTTTTAGTACTTGAAACAGACATATTCTAAGAAATAAAGCTATTGACAAGAAAGTGTAGAAAGTGTAGGAGTATATTTACACTTATCTCTGTTTATCTGCACTCCTGCCCCAACCATATTCCCATCTAATACTTTGCCAATTGACTTACCAATTTCTGTAATTACCACCTTTGGGCAGATCCTTATCTATATATTTCTAGATTCATGCAATGGCCTACTACTGGATCTTTTGGGGTTCATTTTTTTCTGACCAAGTCCAATTTAGAAAGTCAGAATAATCTTCCTTATATCTTGTTAATGTGTCACTCCTTTGCTCAAGAATCTGCTGCCCAAGCTCCCTTCTCCTTATTAATGTTACACTTCTTGTGTTCACATAGGCTTTTTTCCAACTGGATTTTCAATACCTTTCCAAATTCACTTTTATTCCCATCTAAGACTATGCCATCTAAGGCTGCCCTTCTTAGCCACTTCTTCCACCTGGACACAATTTGCTGCCTACAGTCTCTATAATATTTCTTATATTATTTTAATATTTATTTCTAGGCCTTTCTATACATGTCTAGAATTCCTGACCTTTACAGGGACTCCACATGTATTTGTGAGTGATTAACCAATAAGTATGCTTGTTTGCTATCAAATAAGAATATTTCTTTCCAAGTAAGATTCAAATGGTAATACTGTCCTAGATATGGCTGTTTAGATCTAGTCATCTCTATCTCTTATTCTCAATCTCTTGCTTTCAAACTTTGCTTTTTTTTCTTTTTTTTAAAACAGTATCAGGAATTAACATTGCGAGCACTTAGAACTTGTCAAGCAGACCATGGTGTCTCACTGAAGGGAAGATATTCTATATACTATTCTTCTCTATGAACTGCCTATACAAAGAGAATAAACTTTACAAAATTAGTTGAAATTTTAAATAAATCCATTGATATACAGGTATGAGGTTTGGGAGAAACAGATGACTGCACTAAAGGTACATCTGATGCAAGCATCCCCTGAAAAGTGAACAAAAGTTCAGTATGACCAATATTTTTCATTCTAAAAGTGTTCACTGACTTCACTGAAGTCACCAAGGACTCCAAGTTAAGAACTGCTTTCTGAATGAAGAAGAGAAAGTAATTGTTTTAATCAGCACTGCCCCAGAATCTTCTATTCAGAATCAGTTATCTCTGCTGTCTTCTTTCTTCATCTTTTTTCAATTTCTCATAAGTCTTTGCTTAGCAGTTACCCTTTCTCACTATAAGGACAATTAATGCCAAAGAGATATTCATTCAATTTAAAGGCATTGAAGTTTGAGTTAAAAAAAAATAACAGGTTTTCAAAAAAGACTAGGCCCTTTTAAACAGGCTATGAACAGAGTCTCAGAAGGGTAATTTCTTATGTCCAATTTTTAGTCTCCTTACTTTTGTTATAAGAAACATATATGAGAAGTTATATTGGCCTGCTGATAATTCTGCATTTGATAAACATATATGTATTATAGAATAAATTTCAAAACTCAAGATTATGTCAGGTATACTTGGCTTATCCACTTGCATATGAATGGGTGCCATACACAAACTTAAATAAGAAAAATTAGTTTTATACTTATACAAGAATATCTAGGGAGATTTAGATTTGGATAAGAAATCTCTTATATATGGATGCAAAGATCTACAACCTAAAGAGTTCCTCATGGGAAGTAAAGTTACAGATCAGAAAGAACATGGACTTTTGAATAATCCAAAATTTGAACTCCAGCTCTGCTATTTTTCTGTGTTGTCTTAAAATAGCCATTTAAAGACCCAAGCCCACTGTATAAGTTAGGAGTTACAGAATGTTTATGAGAAATGCATATGAAATATAAAGTCCCAAGGACTGTATGTCACATTCAATCAATAGTAACTATACTAACCCACTTTACAGAGTTGTGTAAATAAGTCGATCTCCAATAAGGTAGTTAATACATGAGTATTTCCTTCCTTTTTATAGGTTCTCAATCCTAAAACAATTACTATTTTCCTATCATCAGCATCAACCCTCAATCATTAACAAGTTCTGAACTGAATGTAAGTGAACAATCTAAAATCTAGAATAACCTTCAAAAGACCACACCAAATTATGCAAATTCACTGTGTATGAAAAACATATATAGGATATGTCAATGGTTAATGACAGAGCATCACTTGATGAGGTTACTGGGAGGATCGTTCCAAACATTTCCCAAATAATGTTCCAATCAACATTATCCCTAAAAGATTCTCCTTACTAATAAGGTTCTGTACTCCAACAAGCTTGGGAAATGTATATGTAGCCTCTCTGCAGTGATATCTAATGGGCATGAACCTACTAAAAGCTAGAAGTTGTATAGCAAAGAAACCTATTTAATGTCATTTAACAAGCATTATCTAAACTTATTTGACTTTGGAATATTTGTTTTCATACAACAACCATAATCTTTTGAAGAATACCTAAAAAAATTTTGTCCTACACCTATACCTATATGTCAGGTGAGTCCAAACCATAAACACATGTGTTCTGTAGACTCTTACACATGTTTGAAATCTGCACTAAACACATTTTCTTTACCTTTCTCCTGACTTCATATACTGTTGGGAAATGGTCAGAGTAATCTTACTCTATCCCTTCCTTCTTTTCTTTCTCTCTTTCTTTGCTCCCAGAAAGAAAGCAGTCAAAAAAAAAAAAATCCATACATATTTATTAAGCCTCTCTGATGTGCTAGTTGCTATGAAATACAAGAACATGAAAGATTCAGTGGCCTGAGCCTGGGAAGGAACTTACAGTGTAAGGTGGCACATAAATCTTTCAGCCTGGGAGTACTGCTATAGTTCAGAGCAGGGAGAGGGAGGTATGGACGGTAGCTAAATGTGCTGAGTTACAGAAAGAAGGTGAATCTGGATGTAGGTTTTCAAGGAAGTCTGTGGTTTGAGTGGCTATGGGAGGAGGGAGTCAGCTGGCATTCTTTTCAGGTAGAAGAAATGTCTGGAGCCTGAATAAAAGTTACATGTGTGGGTGGTAAATGGCTTAGGTGGAATAGATTCCTTCCAGGGAGGAGAAGGGAAATGGAGTTGAATACTTAAATGTGTGGCCTTGAGCTAATGGATATTGTGGGAATTGAATAAGTGCACTGGGAGCCCACGAGGATAAAATGGAGAAGAGAGAAGGAAGGAGATTAAGAAGCCACTGTAGTAGTCCAGAGACACAACAATAAGCAAGGAGTTCGGGAAGTATCCATTTTAGTTGCCTACTATGACAGTTATGAGCAATAAAAGTGCATGACATTGAGGATTGAGGTTCAAATGATGGCTCTGCAACTTAGTAACCATGTGGCAAATTTGAGCAAATCATTTAACTTCTCTGTACCTCAATTTTCCCTTTTTGTAAAATAGGGCTAAAAACACATCCTTAGAAGATGGACTCCAGGCTATTTTTTCCACATTTTATTTTAATTTTAAAACTAACTTAAATCTAAAAGTCATGTATCCATAACCTTATTCCCTTTTGTTGGTTTCATTTCAACTTATATGCATGATTTGTTTGAAAATATAAATATTTATCATCTGATGCATGTAACACAGAACAGCTGCTTGTAACAGCAATCCATCTCCTCCCCATTTCTTTTTAAAAATATAATCAAAACAATCTTTTACCTATTTTTGATACTAATAGTTAGCCCTTTCACCTCTCTGAAAATTAACACAATTAGCAACAATATGAATGGTACCTTCTACTTTAAATAATTTAAACTGAAGTCATATTGGTAAGCAAGAGGCACAAACCATGCCATTTATGATTTTTTCATCCCTAAGATGAGCTTTTGGAAACATATATCATTGCAGAGCAATCTGGACAATTCTTGCCATGCCCTGATCTTGTAAGCCCAAACTTTATTTTGAGTAGTCCATCTTTATGCTTAAATGACAGCTCTTTGATAGAAGAAAAACAATATTTCTTCCCATTATGTGAAAACATAATGGGCACACATACATTCTATATACATATGTATTTGCATAAATCTCCATGGCCTATTTACTAGCTAGAATTATTTAATGTATAGACATTCTGCATTGTGATAATTAAGACATTAATATGATTAGAAGGTTTTTGATTTAAGACAAGTTTGAGATTTACTAAAATTAATTATTGCATGTGTGTCCTTCTGGTGACTTCATATTTTCTTCAAGCAGCATTATATACCTTAACTCTTGAAGGACAATTTTTAAGTTGCTGAATTAAATTTTATGAATTTTTCCATTTTTGCTAATACGGCTATGCTCATTGCATGTGTTATTTTACTTGGAATTATTTATTCCAGTTATATACATTTTTATCATAAATTTAACCATTGAAGAAGCTTCTGGATATTTAAGTCTATATTCTTATTTCAATCTGTATATTCTGTTTTTCAAATTTGTCCTTGTTGACATAACAATTATACTCGTCCATTTTAAAAGTGTTCATTCTTCATCAACTTAAGGCCCTAGCTACCTGGACTTGGCAATCTTCATGACCTTGGAGAAAAAGTGAACTTTATGGGGAACTTCAACTCCTGTGAAGACCACCATCTTCTTCTGAAGCCTCAAACTCTACTCACACAGAGCTTTGGGGAGGATTGCATGAGAAGAGTCAGTGGCTTATAAACTTTTTTTTTTTTATCAGTGAACTACAGTAAAAAATATACTATGACCCAGTAGATTTATTTAAAGTAGGAGGTACAATGAATACTATTGTTAATTTTGTTCATTTTTGAAGGCATGTGGATGCTGATTCCTAGCAGTATAAAAAATATGTAGAAGAGTGTTTTGATATCTGTAAGTGTTTAAAAAGGGGTGGGAGTGTGGACTACTAATAAAAGCAACTTCTGTGTGTTATATACATAATAGTCATGACAAAATTTGTTTATAGTCTTTGTTTAACAAACCATGCATTTCAACTTCAATGAAACCAACCAAAAACTATTATATATATACAATATAAAGGAAATCTATATATAATTGAAACAGTATATAACCACACACACACACAGATATATATTTGATTCAGTATATAAAGAATTGAAATAGAACTTAACATGAAAGTATATTTACCCTTTCTATGTATGATTCACTCTGATGTTTTCTATTTTACTTAATTTTAAAAAATATTGATTGTGACATGCCAAATTGATTTTGAAATATATCAGTGAGTTTGAAAACACTCTGGTAAGACATCACCTAGCTTAATAATTGTTGTTTCCCTCTTCTCTCTTCCACCCTTTTTGTAATAAAAACTCTCTCTCTACTCCTGTACTTCAACTGAGAATTAAATAGATCACATAATAAGATTTGAGCTGTCTACTATAAATATATTTTGTAAATTGTTTCACTACACATGTGTGAGTTTTCTCAGGGCACTATAAGTTTACGAGCTGACTACATAAAGCAAGGATCACTCACTAAGATGCCTGTAGGAGCCAGGCAGATCATGTGAATGAATGAATGACAAGGCTGGTGGGGACTTGGGCACACTGGGTGGGACTGTGGAGGGCAGAGCAGATTGCTGGAATGCTAGCCAACTGTTGCCAGGTCTTTAGAGTTTTAAAAAAAATACCCATATTTGAATTTTTAAAGGGAAAATTTATGTTTTAAAAGTTTTAATAACTAATTTTTTTAAAAAGTTAAACATTTTAAGGGACAAACAAAATAAATCTATCGGTCTTAGCAGCCAGTTTGCCCCTCTAATATCAACAGTGCCTAGCATTAGTGATGGAAACCTCCCTGAGAGTAGCATTTTAGATAAGCCCATAAGGAGCTTGACATTTCAAGACAGAGAAATAAAGAAGAGTTTCTGGAATCTAAAATGCTAACATAGGGTCACCGAAAGACTGTTTGATTTGGAGTCAAAAGGCACAGATTCCTTTCCTGGTTCCAACAGTTTCTAAGGAATGGTTTTGGCCAAATGATTTCAGCTGTTCCTGGGCCAACTGGACCCCTATGAGACATGCTGTGAGGAATGTGGCCTCACCAAAAATATCTGACCCTTTTGACCTAACAATTACCTATGACTCAACCAATCAGGTAGCACTGTCTCCCAGAGACCACCATACATCCTTATCCTTTCATTGGCAAATGAATAGGAAAAAGACATCTTTCTAATTGGCCCTTATATTCCTTTCTAGCCCTTAAAACCTTAAAAATGTATTTCTGGCAAACCCAGCTGTTTTCCCCCTTTCTGGCATTCCTTTATCCCCTGTTGCTGACCCCACTTCTACCTCCATCTATTATCAGCAAGTTTCCTCCAAGTCCCATCTCTGAGTATTTGGTCATGCTGGGATTTTTGTTTTTGTCCCTTGATCATCTGCACCTTTCTTCCCTCTTCCCCTCCATCCATTCAATCCCTGCCTTTCATAGGTCTACACAGGAAGGACAAGAAGACTCCAGCTGGAGGGAGTGGGACACACTCAGGAGAAGTTGAAGGGAATTCACATATTTCACGTGTTTGGGTTTTACCTGGGGGTGAGCCTTTTCCATGAACAAAGTTGGGAAGCCAGAGGTTGTTACTTGATTCATCTTTGTCTACTTAAACTTTGGCTTGATTCATTACTTCTCAGTAAATACTTGTTGAACCCTGTTGGTAATACCAGAAGCCTGATATTATATGAGGTGCTCAACTTACAGAGCTTAGTTGAGAAGAGTACTTGCTTCAAGGAGTCTATGATCTAGAGGTATTGATCAACAAATGAACAATGGCAGTGATACTCATGTGTGCTATGGCAGAGGCATGCACAGGTCAGAAAAGCTTAGAGGATCCAGCCATGCTTCCTGGGGAAGATGCCCATGTCACCTCCACTGGGTGACTCATGATCAGAGTTTGCCAGTTTGGCTGGGTTACAAGGAACAGTGTGTGAACCACAGGAAGAGTAGGTCTAGTGGCTCAGATAGGGTGAGAACCAGCTCATGGCACTAGACGTCAAGCACAAAACAGTCTTTTTTTCTCTAATTTTCCAAATTCTCTGAAGTAGAAGCCTTGGAGCGAGAATAAGAAGGAGGTAGTGAGCTACAACTACTAGGGCAAATGAGGAAAGAATAGGCATGTGTCTTCAAAAGTGCAGAAATTCAATCAACTGAAAGCTGACAGCATTCAGAAGACAATGTTTAAAAAGGACAAAGTGACAATTGTGGAAGGCAGAGGGGAAGAACTGAGGCTGCCAGATGAAGGGGTGAAGAGCACCCAGCCCTTTTGAGAGCTCAATTAAATTTTGCAGCTTGAATTCCCCACTTATTGCTCCCTTTGCCTGCCTCTTCCTCCTCCCCATGAACTGGGCCCTGTGGGTCAGGGATCCTGTACTCTTTGGGGGAAAATAAATATTTAGAAATGAATTCATCAGCACAAGTAACCATTGCTAGCATAATTCTCCTTCATGGCAAAACTGGCAGTGGAAAATAATTTGTTTGGTTCGATCCAGCTCTGCCTCCTTCATTCCTTTCTTCAGAAACCAGGCTGGTGGATCCCTGTTCCTCTTAATCTTTAAGCAGACCAAATGCTGGGATATGCTGAGCTAGAGGAGGGCCTTATAAGAACTGAAATTCAAGAGAAGGGTTTTTAGAATAAGGCAGTCCTTATTTCCAAACCTGAGCTTGGCCACTGTCTAGCCTGAGACCCTCCTAAAATCTGATTTACTTACCTAAGCTTGTTTTCTAATTTGTAAATAGGGAAAGGAATACCTACAGAATGGAGTGGTTTTAAAGATTAAATAGGATTCTGCATGTGGCTGAAAAATACTAAGTGCTTAGAAAGTTACTATGATGATGGATTTTACATACAGGCACGTACAGTGTGTCAGGATTTTTTGGATTATTCCCAGCTCACTGTGATGCTTCACTTTTCTCCAAAAGTCTGATATCCAAAACTGGCTGACTGAGATAGTCTTTCCAGTTTTTATCAATATTGATTACGAATAGTAATCCTGGAAAGAGCTCTCCAATTATTCATCTAATTAAATAAGCAAACCTTTTTAGCCCAGATAGCCTAAATCTCTGTAGCTTGTCTTTGCTGATTTGATCAGAACAACTCAGACAGGGCTTTCCTGGTGGAAAAAAATAAATTAGCAGTCTGGAAAACAAGGACTGCTGGGTTAAAAGAATCTCACCAAAACAGCCTGCTCAGCCTGTTTATTTTGCCGTATTGTCTAGCATTAATAGGAGACTGGGAAAAATCCAAGTTACCGCCCAGCAGGAGTTCCCCCTAAAGACAGAGACTGGCAAATATTATGTTTGACGCATGAAAGCCAAATCAGAAGTTAACTCTTCAAGTCATTTAATCACTAACCATCCAATCACAATGATGTGTTTACTACTAGACTGAACTTGGTCCAGGGTTGGGACCATATTGAATTCATTTTTTGATCTCTGATGCTAAACATTCGTTGTCACGTACAAGGTATCCAATACATTTTTGGTGAATTGAATTGAACTAAAAAAGCAAGGAACATTCTTCTCATTAGGGCTGCCTCTCTGTAAAGTTTCCATAGTTTCTAATTCACCTGAGAATCAATAACCAGACTGTTAGAGTATTATGAGTGTGGTTCAAAGGACTTGTAACCCTTGTGTTCTGAGATACCACATGATTAGAGTAACTCTTATGCCAGGGGAGAGAAATTCCTGGTAGAGTGGATCTTATCTCCATTTTTTCCTCCTAGTGTCCTATAGAGACTTTTCTTCTCTGGGTACCTATAAATACTGTTACATTTATTTGTCTAGGTATCTATTGCTCCCTGTTCCCAACTAGCCTGAAACTCATCAGGTTTATGTCTGTCATAGCAGTGTAATTATGAATAGCATTGCCTTTCACTCTAAAAAGTTCCCTGGTTTGGACGCTAAATTGTATGGACACCCTACTTAGGGGAGAGTTGATTGTACACCACTTAGCCACCCGACTCCCCTCCCTGTGGAAGTCTGGGTTCCACACGCTGCCAGGGGCTTTCCTCTGTGACGGCAGTTCTCTCAATCCCGACTTCAGGAGGCGTGAGCCCATTCCTGAAAGAACAGACACCTGTCTCTGGAGAGACTCTTAGTGGAAGAAAAAAAAAAACCATTTCTCTAAATTTAAGACTATCATTTAATCTTGGATTTCTTACTCAAATAACAAACAAACAAACAAACAAAAAAAGAATCCCTAATAGTTGCATCCCTAAATTCACTGAAATCTAGAAGACACACTCATTGGAAAGCTCTAATCTAGTAATTAAACTGAAGCTTTTCAGGTTAAACTGCACCGTAATAATGTAGCTTATTTTGTCAAAATCAGTTAAGGTCCTCTAATGTGATTTGGAACAAACGGACAGACAAAAATTAAAATGTGGCTGGTCAAGGTAATCAGAAAACTCACTTCATTCAGTCAATAACAATGGCAATTTAACAGGTTCTTTTTACTACTAGGATGTAATTGTGCTTGGCTTTAATTTCTTGTAATGATGGAACAAATTAAATTACTTCATACTTCTAGGAACATTTGGCTACATCATGTTTTGGTACTTCTATAAACCCCGCTGGAAATTAAATCAGTGGGGCTCTGTGATTGCTCATTCTTCCTATTTAGTGCCATGTCTGCCTCGTGGCAGCAAAGTGGTAACATTGTCTACCTTAATGCAAGACACTGCAGTAGAATTAAAAGAAATTACCTCCCCCACCTCTCTACTTTCAGAGCTCCCTATTTGTAGCTATCAAATTTTGGCAAGCCTGCTGGAACATAATCTTGTTAGAACAAGCACAGTAATTCTCATGTGAGACTATAGGACTCTCTATGATAAGGTCAAAATGTACCTGGGATTCAAATTTAGACGTGGGTATTAGTTGGTAAGAACATGAAGAGCATCAAACAGCTTTCGGAACTCAAACTACTTTTATTTTGTACAATTGATTTCTTTTTTCCCCACTGCCAGATGAACATGCAAGCTTTGAGGTTGCCATGTGCCATGTGCCATTAAAATTAATTTGTCTAGCACATTTTATCTTTAGGTCCTTACCTAGAGCATGTAAAATAGTCTAGCAGAATCTTGAACTCCTGGCCTCAAGGCTTCTTCCTGCCTCAGCCTCCTGAATATCTGGGACCACAGGAGTCAGCTATGGCATCAGGCTGGATTCTAACAGAAACTAACACAACTTTCCTAAACACAATAGCTACTAAGCTCATATGGTAAATGATCATATTATAAATTACATTGCAAATAGATTGCTGCAGACTACATGCAACATTACTAGTAGGCAACATTGTAGCAGAAACTGTCCCTTACTATTGATGCTTTCCTTCATCAGTTGTACTAGAATCCCGCT